AACTCTCATGTAAACATTAGAATGAGAATGCACTCATTACTGCAGAGATGGAATTCAGCCATTCATGAGAGATTTGCCTCCATGACCCAAACACCTCCAACAAGGTCCCAGCTCCCACACTGGGGATCACATTTCAACATGAAATTTGTGGGGAGTGGACATGCAAACTACATCACATGATGCATTTTGGAATAGCAACTCATTATATTATATGGTACTTTGCTCATTATGTATCCACAAAGGATATGGATGGTACTCATGCATAAATGAAGCTCTAGTAGAATCCTAAGACTATGCTAGCCTTGTTAAACAACATTACGATTTATGCAGGACATATAAATCAGTCTAGATATGCCAATTTAGATATTACTGATGCACTTCAAATATCTTAAACTCAGAGTAATTTTTTCAATCACAATTTTATAAGCAAACAGAACGTTAATCAATATGTCAGTAAACTACTGCCCTGTCATCTGGACTCCCGAAACCCATAAACATTTTTAAATAGGGATCGCTCGGTAGAAAATAAGTCTTCTTTAAGTCCCTAATTCCATAGAAAGGTTTTTTGGGGGTACCTTCTAAAATTCAAACTCTCTGAGTAGCAGAGGATCTAAGCCACTGCCATCTTCTGAATGTGCTCCTTCCAAATCTAGGTGTTGCCAGTGTGATACTACTATGAAGTGGAACCTTGAACAGGTGATTAGGCCAGGAGAGCTCTTAGCTCATGAATGGATTGGTCGCTCTTATAAAGAGGTGTGACAAAGTAAGCTGGCTCTCTCTTGCCCTCCCACCTTCTTCTAGGTGGGACACAGCAAGAAACCCTCACCAGTCTAAGTAGTGGTACCTTGATCTTAGACATACTAGTTTCCAAGACTGTGTGAAATAAACTTCTGTCCTATTTAAATCACTCAGCCTTAGGTATTCTGTCGTAGCAACACAAATGGCCTGACAGTCATAAGCCACAGTCACTGCATGAGGTTTGACTGGAACACTAACTTTGGGAAAGTCAGTGTGCTATGTCATCAGTCCAAGGTTTGTGAAAGTTTACTTGGTAGGGTCACACACAAGGGAGTCTCAGGCTGACTCACCATCATCAACATGCCTGTAACTCTTACTGCACTCAGAGTAACAGGATCTCCTGTCTTTCATTATGCAGCTTGCACTTTTATATGTGATATAAGATATTTGGTGTCCTTCAAAAATCCCTCCTCAGCTTATAAAGCCTAATTTCCTTTGGTACAGTTGTATACCTCTATAATCTATACATGTAGATGTAGGTAAAAGTGTTTAATGATTATAAACTTATCTCTGAATTTTTTTAAATTTTACCATCTCTAAAATAAGCTGGCATCTTAATCCATGAGAGTTTTTTTTTTTCTTCTTAGCAACACATAAAGCAGTGGTACACATCACAACTAGTGACTAGTGGTGTATCAGAAATGATTATATATAATAGATTTCCCCAATAAAAGTAAGCCCTTGTTCCATTTCAGTTAAAAAATAACATGGAAGAAAATAACATTTCAACATCTTTTTTAAAAAATACCTCTCTAAGTTAATACTGCTCTATATTAATGGAAATAATTTACATCTAGGTCATCTATTTCTAAGAGATAGATTTTTAGAAAGGATTTCTAGAAAGAGATGTATAGTTAGATAATATGAATTTCTCATTTTCAAAATGGTATCCTATATAACTCAGAAATATATATGGTTTCCCTTCCTGTGTTTTGCTCAAAATAATTTACTGTCTTTTGTTGCCTTCTTTGTATATGCTTAACTTATCTAGAGTGTATCTTGATATGTGATAAAATACATTGGGTGAGATGACAGGGGTAGTTTTGTGTAATGAAATCCCTGTCAGCAGAAGAAACAGACCCTGTAATGAGTGTTTTGCTGACTGAGAGTCAGAGACCACATCTCACCTCTATTTTTGAAAGCAGAGATGGTAAATGAGGCAACCTTGAGACCAGGGCAGGTCCTTGCTACCTTCTGACCTTACTTGAGTTTTTAACAAGTAAGGTCAGAAGGCAACAAGGACCTCAGGTCCTCTCAGCATCAGGAAATAAATTTAGTGACCACCCTCTCTTCACTTTCTAAATATTAAATTCTTCCTTTTCTTCTTTTTTTCCCCTCCTCCCTTTCTTCCTACTTTCCTTCCTTCCTTCCCTCCTTTCTTCCTTCTCTTTCTTTCTCTCTTTCTTTCTGACAAGTCTTGCTCTGTTACCCAGGCTGGAATGCAGTGGTGATATGGTTTAACTCTATATCCCCACCTACCTCTCATCTCAAACTGTAATCCCCACATGTCAAGGGAGGAACCTAGTGGGAGGTGATTGCATCATGGGGGTGGTTTCCCTTATGCTGTTTTCCCGTTAGTGAGGGAGTTCTCGTGAGATCTGATGGTTTAAAAGTGGACTTCCCCTGAACTCTGTCTCTCCTACTGATTCCTGAAGAAGGTGCCTGCTTGCTTCTTCTTCAGTTTCTGCCATGCATGTAAGTTTCCTGAGGCCTCCCAGCCATGCAGAACTGTAAGTCAATTAAATCTCTATCCCTTATAAATAATCCAGTCTAGGTATTTCTTCATAGCAGTGTGAAAACAGACTAATGCAAGTGGCATGATCTTGTTCACCACAGCCTCAAAGTCCTAGGCTCAAGCAATCCTCCCACATCAGCCACCCGAATGGCTGAAACTACGCATATGCACCATCATGCCTAATTAGTTTATTTGACTTCTCTGTTGAGTCAGGGCCTCACTATGTTTACCAGGCTGTTCTCGAACTCTTGACCTCAACTGATCCTCCTGTCTCAGCCTCCTAAAGTGTTGGGTTTACAGGCATGAGCCACAATGCCCAGCCAATTCTCCACTTAATAACTGAAGACATATACAAGACATATATTGATTATACACCAAGTTCCTGGGTGTGTATTTCTAGCCCATGAACTCCAACCCACAAACACTAGAGCATGGAGGGAAAGGCCTCTCTGTGTTCAGAGTCCCTCAGGAACATGTTGCCTGCTGGGAACCTCCCATTAAAGATACTAATAATTACGTAATTAGTGTCTCTCAGATATATGCTAAAACAACCCTGAGTCCTAGAAAATGGCCTTATTACTTAAAAAACACATCAATGATAGACTGGATAAGAAAATGTGGCACATATACACCATGGAATAATATGCAGTCAAAAAAAAGAATGCATTCGTTTCCTTTGTAGGGACATGGATGAAGCTGGAAACCATCATTCTCAGCAAACGGACACAAGAACTGAAAACCAAACACTGCATGTTCTCATTCATAAGTGGGAGTTAACAATGAGGACCCATGGACACAGGGAGGGAAACATCACACACTGGAGCCTGTCAGGGGGTGAGGAGCTACGGGAGGAATAACATTAAGAGAAATACCTAATGTAGATTATGGGGTGATGGATGCAGCAAACCACCACTGCACATGTATACCTATGTAACAAACATGCATGTTTTACACACGTACACCAGAATGTAAAAGTATAATAATAATTAAAAAAGAAACACAGCTACTATCTTCTTCATTTTTATGATTAAAAATACAAGATCAAAGATCTACAAGAAGATGCGCTTATTTTTCCAAAGAGAGTGTCTGTACTTTGGAACCATATTTCAGGTATTACACATTATGTTTTATCAAGCTGCAAAGAATGTAAAATGAGCAAATTTGTGCTCAGTATTTTTCAGAAATAGGAAGGGAGTTAGCAAAAACAATGGCATTTTTTCTAACCATTTTCAAGAGACTTTGCAGAAAAATTGGCTTCTAAAATAATAGATCTGAAGACACGTAATCAAGAGGACTCACAGCTAACTCTACTCGGAAGCTTTCCAGAGCCTAGATGTGGTGATGCACACTGTTACAGTGAAGGCCCCTTGATCTCATGCCAACATTTGGGAAATGACACTGGATTGAATATCCCCAGCCTTCCTCGCTTCATGCTGTGTGGTTTTCTGACTTTCAAGATGAAGGACAGGCTTCGTGTGGTTGAGATAACCAAAAGGTAGGTTCTTTGGTGGGAAACAGGCTGACTGCTGCCATGCCTTACCGGTTCTAATGCATGGAAGATACAGCAAGGACTTCACACACCAAATGTGCCACACCTCTGTCTTGCAGAGATACAGCAGACCTGACATGTAGAGATCAGCAGTTTTGTGAAGGCAACATGACTTATGACTTTTCAGTTATGTGGAAGTTAATAGTTGTTGCTCATATTCTATGAGAACATATGAGATAATTTGAGAGGATTTGATGAAACGTTCTAAAGACCAAAAATCCGCCAAAAACAACATTAAAAAAAGCAAAAAAAAAAAAAAAAAAACCTCCAAATACAGGTACCTATAAATGTGGACCCAAATAAATACATTAGCAAAGGAAACCATGAAATAAATGTGCTTTTCTTGGATTCAGTCTGGCTCCCAATGCAGGCAAGTTTCTCCTCATTCCAAAGAGTCCTATACAGGAACATACACTAGGCTGTCTCTTCTAGACCCTCCTGTGACCTTGAGCAGGATCTACAGGTTGGCCCCACATGAAGGTGAAAGTAATACCCTTTAGTTTATTTTTTTTCTCATCTTTCCTTATGTCAGCCACTGGAATTATAGTTCCCAATGGAAATTTATGGGTGTGGAAGTTCCTGTTTTATTAGTGCCACAAGGGGCAAAATATTCCACACCAAACTCTGGAGGGAAAAAAAAAATCCAAGAATAAAACAGAAACCATAAATTCCATCATCAAATCAAGACAGTTTTCTCTTAAGACCTTTCTCTTAAAACAGACAATAAGCCTATTACAGCATCCCATGTGTCCCTGTGCAAGCCAAGAGTAAAGTGATTTGAGAGAGCACAGACTGGGTTTATAAGAAAAGTTCTCATTTGAAAAGGTGCAGACAGTGTGACGGTGTGGTGGAAGATCACCAGGAGAGCATGGCTCCTGTGGGCGGCATTGTCAGAGGATGGAGAAGGCAGACACTCACCGGACACGCGGAGATGCTCTGTTCCCACTGCGTCATGCTCAGGCTCTGCTCCAGGCTCGTGCACTTCTTCATCACCACGTCCCAGCCACAGTAAGGGTCCTGGGCCCCAATGCAGGTGCTGGAAACACACACCAAATCGTCAACAGAAAAGCAGCTTTACCCAAGACAAGATACACAAGCCAAGGCGAACTGGTCCCTTGGCAGAGAGGTATGGGATTTCTTAGCCATGAAACCCAATGGATATCTATTTAGGCTATACACTGGAGAACATAGGTATGTACACACCCCAGTAAGTATCTGATATTAAATCATTTATATAGACATTTTGAAAAATATATGTTTTAATCTAACACACATGGCAGATTACCAAAGATGAGCCAACACGAGCAATTTGGTGTCACAAATAGTACTAAAATCAAGATTCTACAGTGCTCAAAAACAGTGTAGCTGTTATCACTACCACTGCCACCATTATCATCCTCTTCCTCTTTATAATGGGTATTACTTGTTGAACACCTACTGTCATATTAATTATAACACAAACTATCATAGCATGAGGACACTTAAAAGATTTGATAGGCAGGTGTTGTTTTCACTTTATTTAGCATTACCATCACCATCATAACCATCACTATTACCAACACTTTATTGATGAGAAAACTGAGGCACAGAAAATTTGAGAAATTAGCCCAATGACATGCAGATACATCCAAAACCCTTCTACATGAATAGTTCAAATTCAAAAAATAGGAACATTTTCCTTTTGTTGACTGTAGCTTAAATGTATTAAAATTTTCAATGTAATAGTAGTTTCATATAGCCATGTCTATAATATCTTACATATGATATCAGAAGTATTGTAAATGGTGGATATTTTCTTTATAGCTTTGTCTAAATGAAAGAGGTCATATACTAAATGGGCATTATTGGATGAGGACTGTGGCATTTACATTATAAATACAAAGTTAGGTAAATGAGGGACGAAGAAGACAGAGACAATAGCGATGGAGACAGAAATATACAGAAGATAATGTCACGGGCACGCGGGACATTGAACCTGGGAATTCTGTGAATGGACCAAGAAGTCAGAGGTGCAGGAAACAGATGTGAGGAAAGAGAGGCAATGCCAGCCTGGAGGTGCTAATGCCCCCATCGTAGAGGTAGGACGGTACTTACAGGGAGGGAGGATCTGTTATAAACTAGCCAAAAGTAAGACCAAAAATCATGGCTTAACCATCAACCCTGTCTGCAGGGACATAGCATAAATAAGTAATGATGAGTTGTTTATATTCATAATACAAAATAATCATTGTTAACACACCTAATGTATTAATCATATATAAAGCACTGTTCTAAGAATATGACTTATATTTGGTCATTTAAACCCCATGACAACCTTATAAATACAGTACCTCAATCAGGCACTACATTGATTCTCACTTTGAAATGAAGAAACTGAAGGAGGGAAAGATCGATTTGAAGGCTGCACAGCTAGGGAAGATATGTTTACAGTTGATAAATCAAGTGATATACAGTAAGTTATACAAGTATCATTTATCAATTACCTAAAGAAGAGTTAATGACTTAAAAAGGGTGCTTCTCAGAAGTAGGGCTAGGTTGTGGTACAAAAAGATGTTAAACAATTACCTGTTCCTATAACCTCATTAGAATTCCTTGATATGTGACCACATGCAGACATGACTTCCATTCAAAACTCAAGACAGTTATAAAAGACAAGGTGAAAGCCTATTTCCTCAATAGTAGGTACTGTTTATACCAACTCACATATTCTGCAGATATTTTATCCACATATATAAGCATGTTTGTGTGCACATATCTATATAAATACATATGTATTTTGTTATTGTTTAAGGGCAAATATGACATATATTAGATATAATTATACATAATACACACAAGTGTGATTGTACACACTCTGTCACATTTTGCTTTTCACACCCAATAATATATTATTGCATCATTCTTGCCAGTAAATGTAGCTCTACCGTATTCCCTTTAACAGCTGTATAGTGCTCTATTTCTTTGATGAACCAACATTTACTTAAATTTCCCTTTTATTATTTTCCATGTTTTATTTCCATTGGTTATTTGGGAACAGGTGGTTTCTGGTTACATGAGTGAGTTCTTTTGTGGTGATCTGTGAGATTTTGGTGTTCCCATCACCCAAGCAGTATACAATATACACTGCACCCAATTTGCAGTCTTTTATCCCTCACCCCATCCTCCCCTTTCCCCCTGAGTCCCCAAAGTCCATTGTTTCATTCTCGTGCCTTTGCATCCTCATAGCTTAGCTCCCACTTATGAGTGAGAACATGCGATGTTTGCTTTTCTATTCCTGAGTTAATTTATTTAGAATAATAGTCTCCAGTCTCATCCAGGTTGCTGTGAATGCCATTAATTAATTCCTTTTCTGTGGCTGAACAGTAGCCCACTTTGTATGTATACCACAGTTTCTTTAATCACTCCTTGATGGATGGGCATTGGGGTGGTTTCACCTTTTTGCAATTGTGAACTCTGCTGCTATAAACATGCATGTGTACGTATCTTTTTCATATAATAACTACCTTTCCTCTGGGTAGATACTCAGTAGTGGGATTGCTGGGTGGTAGTTCTACTTCTAGTTCTCTAAGGAATCCCCATACTGTTTTCCACAGTAGTTGTAGTAGTTTGCATTCCCACCAGCAGTGGGAATTTCCCCTTTAAAATTATTAAATTTTCCCTTCAAAAGCAAGGCTGCTGTGCTCATATTTGCACAGATTTTCTCTGTTAAATTTTACTAATGGAACTGTTGAGTCAAAAGTAATGGGCATTATTAAATTTGCACCAACAAACAGCACAGGAGTGCCTCTCCTGCCTCACCCTGTTACACATTGGATATTATCAAACTTTTTTTAACTCACCCAAAAAGTGAGTCTATCAAAAGGCTGGTATATGAAAAAATATAGAATTTATCAATCGTCTGTTTCTAATTCTTTCACTTGTGTGTTAGGTTAAGGCTTTGTATAGGTGCATATACTTATGAAACATTTGTATTTTCTATGTGTAAACTTCCTATTCATATCCAATTCCTGATTCGATCTCTTTCATGAATCATTCACTTTATTACACGGTCATTGGAAGGGGTGATTTTTGCATTAAAAATCACCCTGAGTAATATTTTCCTGAATAATGTTAAAATATTATAATATTATAATATACAATATATATTATAATGTTAAAATATTATAATAATATAACAATGTTAAAATATTACGCAGTGGCCCTGAGTAATATATTCCCTGTTTGACATCACTTTTTTTTTTTCTGAGATATACATGTTATAAAATTTTACACATAAAACTTATGAACATTTTCCTTTATAGCATCTAATTTGTGTTCCATGTTAAGATCTTTCTCAGTTAAATCATCCTGACTTAAAGATTAAACATCAAAGATTAAAGATTATAAAAAACATCAACCCTGCCCCCAATCCTTCTGCTTCTTCTAAGGTATCATTTCTTTGCCTCCCTATCCTTTATCCATTTGAAATGTATTTTTCTTCTCCTCAAAAACAAAAATAAAGAATCATAAATAGATATTTAACCTAAACATCTCAGACCTCACACAAAATAAACAGATTCAGGTGTTAGAGGAAGAATAATAGATATGAGTATGGATTCTTTTCCTTTTATTTAAATAGCATCTTTTTCAAATACTACAATTTTATAACAGAGACTGTGAGCATAAGCATTTTAAAATCTCTAGCTTTGGGAATATAATTCTGAATAATGTACTATTTTAACTAAGAATAATTTTGATGATCATTTTCATTGAATAAAACTTGAACCTGCATTTTTATTGTGAAAACACATAAAAATTTCTCAGTTTTCAAGATGCACAATTGATTTAATAACACTTGTTTTGTGCAGGGAATCGAGAAGATGAGAATAAATTATCACAACAAATGACTAAGACCATGAAACGTGTGCATTTTTTATCTAGGGCTCAGCAAATTCTTCCTGAAGAGCTTTGCACGTGCACTGTTGTTCTGTAGAAAAATACTCAGAGGAAGTTCCTGGCAATCTGGAGACCCTTCAAGTGCAACCCATGAGACAGACGTGGGTGGGTTGAGGGCTAAGAGTCCTTCTGCTCCCTGCTGTGACCTCACTTGCTGTGCCAAGGAGATCGGACCTGAGAGTGTCCTCATCTTACCAAACTAGCCAAAAGTGACATATTTATATTTGCGGCTCCTAAGGCAAAACCTGAAATTAATTCTTTTATTGACAAAATAACATAGTGTATATTACATATGGGAATTCTCTGTGTATGATTCTATACACAGAGCAAACGTATAGTAAGGCTATACATAGAGATCATTCAAAAGGCCTGCATTCCTTTTCATGTTTCTTATTAAAGCAACATGACTAGTAGGTAAAATTAAATCTCCAAAAAGGGAAAAATTCCACAGACTCTCTAAGTTTACCCCAGACTTCCCGTGCAAAGCAGCTTGGAGACTTAAAACAAAGCCACAGTATTAGAGGAAAGTAGTTCAGCTGTTTTAAATGAAAAGCTGTGTGTAATAACATCTCTTTCTTCTGATAATGCCAATGGTTCATCACGTTCTTAACATTACATTTATCCTTTAAAATTTTAAAACGTCTGTGCAAACACAAATGCCCATTCAATAAAATACCATGTGTATTTAAATATAATTTCCTTAAGCAAAATACTTTACACCATGGGCAAAATTCTGATGAGATCTGTCTTAAGAAAATCTATCACACAATTTTATTTTTGGAAGCTGAGTCTCTTAAAGAAACTATGTGGAAAATCATATAGAGAATTTTGATTAACTGGAGCCCATAATGGGTTTCCAATTAAAGCAGCCATCTTGAAAATGGCTTTTCCACTTTGAAAATGTATTTCCTTGTATGATGAATATTTTTAATAAGTTTTAGCTTGAGTTGATTATTTCAAATTGTAAACATATGTCATAGCATCATTTTGTACCCCATAAATATATTCTGTACAAATATAATTGTCAACATTCAATTTAAAAATTTCCATAATTTGTGCTTTTTTTTGAAGCAATGCATGAAAATAACTTTATTCTAGCCT